AAAGGAATGTAGTACCTGTGAAAATAATAACCTATAAAAATTTTGGAAGAATCCATGGCATGGGAATAACAATGACCTCTAGGGAGGAAAGTTGGCGAGAAAAGAGTGACTTTCCACTTATAGACAGTCTAAGTATTACAGAACATACAGTCTGAACATCATATATTACTTGGCTATTTAAAAACTTTTAAATATGAGCCAGGTGTGTTGATAAACACCTTTAATCCCAGCATTCTGTAGGCAGAGAAAAGGGGATCTCTGAGTTAGAGGTCAGCCTAGTCCACATAGTGAATTCTGGTTCAGCAAGGGCTATGTGGTGAGACTCTCTTTTCTCCTTATCTCTCTCTCTCTCTGCTGTTTTGGTTTTTTGAGAGAGTTTCTCTGTGTTGCCCTGGCTGTCCTGAAACTTGCTCTGCCTCATGAGCACTGGATCTCCTGGCAATGAGACCCTATCTCCAAGAAAAACATTTTAAAAAGACAGTAAATGCAACAGAAGAGTAACATAGGAACTGAAAGTGCTCAAAAGCTGATATTGGGAAAGCTGGGGTGAGCAGTGAGAAAAACTCTGGAGGCAAATCATGAGGTCAGGACCTGCGGGTTAGAGGTACTTGGCAAAAAGCTAGATGCTGTGGTAGGAAGGACTGTTTCACAGAGAAACCCTGTCTTGAAAAAACAAAACAAAACAAAGTGAATCAGACAAACACAACGTGTGCAGGAATCCTGGAGACTGCCTGGGACAGTGGCCACCTGAAGGGCCATGCAGTGACCAGCGAGCCACAGTGTCTGTTTGAGAATTATAGAAAGGTTTTAGATTTTAATAAAAATGAAACCAAACTAATCTGCAGACTCTGTTATTCAGGCCATCAGGTAAGGGACCCACAGTCATCACCACTCTGCCCTAGCAAGTCCAAGTCTGAACACTCTAAGACACCAACAACCCTTCTCAGACTGTGGAGACTGAAGCCATGGAGCAGGTAGCTGTCCCCAGACTGAAAAGGTGGGAAGAGACAGGGGATCGACTCACTGAAGCAGAATCCCAGAGGCATCAGCTTTGGGGTGCCACTGGAGACCCTACTCCACTGCTGATGAGCTGCTGGGGGCTCAGCATGGATGAACAGAGGTGAAAAATGCAGGGGTCACAGGAACCAAGTCAAGATGGGCCACCATCCTAAATGTAAAATGCAAAACTCTAAAACCATAGAGGATAAGGTCAAAGCTCCCAAATGACCCCAGGATTGACAATGACTTTTTAGACATGACACAAAAGACCAAAGAAGAGGTGTAAAGTCATTAACATTTTAAACATCTGTTCTTCCAAAGACACTGTCTAAATAATGAAATGACAAGTTACAGATTGAGGTAAAATATTTGCAAAATGTATGTCCAATAAAAGATTTATTCAAGGGGCTGGAGAGATGGCTTAGAGGTTGAGAGCAGGGCTGCTCTTCCAGAGGTCCTGAGTTCAATTCCCAGCAACCACATGGTGGCTCACAACGATCCGTTATGAGATCTGGTGCCCTCTTCTGGTGTGCAGACAGACATGGAAGCAGAAAAAAAAGATTAATAAAAGATTTATTCAAGGGGCTGGAGAGATGGCTTAGAGGTTGAGAGCAGGGCTGCTCTTCCAGAGGTCCTGAGTTCAATTCCCAGCAACCACATGGTGGCTCACAACCATCTGTTATGAGATCTGGTGCCCTTTTCTGGTGTGCAGATATACATGGAAGCAGAATGTTGTATACATAAGACATGAAGAAAGAAAGAAAGAAAGAAAGAATTCTTTCTAAAAAACAACAACAACAAAAATCAAGAGAATAGCCAAGTTTTAAAAATGAGCCTATGACCTAGGAGGCACCTCACATCTTAGTTCCCCGCCCCCCACTGCTGTTGTAAAATAATCTACAAAAGCAATTTAAGAGGGAAAGAGTCTGTTTCAGCTCAGGAGGCTTGCTCAGCACAGCAGAGAACTCCAGGCAGGGTGTTCAGAGCAGCAGTCACATTGTATCCTATTGGAAAGAGAGCATGTTGACTGTGTGCTAAATTCTTCTCCACTGACAGTCCAGGAGCTCGGCATATGGGTGTCATCCACAGTGGGCAGGGTGTCCCACCTCAAATTACATTATCAAGACAGCTCCCCACAGGCACCAATAGAGGCCAATTTCCTGGGTGAGTCTCTGCACTGTCGAGCTAACAATTAACAATAAGAGCCTCATTCTTCTCAAAGAAGACAGAAATCTGGGTGGTGGTGTTGCACGCCTTTAATCCCAGCACTTGGAGGCAGAGGTGACACATCTCTGAGTTCAAGGCCAACCTGGTCTACAGAGTGAGTTCCAGGACAGCCAGG